CTTATTTTTCTAAAGGTTTTGTCTGTCACTGGGAATTTCACATTCTCTCACTCTGCTGGTGAGCAAGAGACTGACCAGTCTACTGGGCTCCTATGCCAAGGCAGCGGGAACAATTTTAGAATAACCTTTTCTCCACTTTTATAAGGAAGCCTCTTCCTTCCTATTATCAAAAAGGACCTATAATGAATCGTGCCATCATTAGCAGCAAGGAATGTGCATGCTACTTTTTAGCAAAGCATGAAAATAATGAATACCATGCCTGATCCTAGCTCAATTCAGTTTTTGCCAAGTGGTTGGTGAATCCCTTTCATGGTTTGGAGTGAAAGATTTGTTGTGGAGCTCCCACAATTCACCTGGTATCTTCCACTAGTTGCCATGTTTGCTGCCTGTAGGCTTCCAATCCATGGACTCCATTAAAACAAACTAGCAAAACCCACTGTGTCTTCACCCTCAGAAGAACACCTCCAGTCATTCATGAATCATTTGATGACCTTGTGATGCTACAGGACAGATGTTGGCTACAGTCTGAAAGAAGCAATGAGCTAAAAAAAGACGATTGAAACAAGCAGGGGCCAAACCCACAGTTTCCTTCAACAATATTAGAAGAATATTAAAACAGGAGCCATGTTTATGATTATTTTAATTTTTGCCCAAAATTCACGAATGGCAAAATCGAGGAGGCCATTTTGTCAAATAACCTTCAGGGGAGGAATGAAATTCTTCAGTGGTTCAGGAGGAGCTTCAAAAAGGAGATTTTCAAATACATCTAAGGGTTAAGAACTTAATTCGTTCTGGAGTTCCATTCTTAACCTGAAACTGTTCTTAACCTGAGGTACCACTTTAGCTAATGGGGCCTCCCACTGCCGCTGTGCCGCTGCCGCCGCGCGATTTTCCTTCTCACCCTGAAGCAAAGTTCTTGACCTGAGGTACTATTTCTGGGTTAGTGGAGTCTGTAACCTGAAGCGTCTGTAAACCGAGGTACCACTGTAAGTATTTGCTGTGAAATTTTGGTCCATCCTTATTGTGAGCTACAAAGGGCATTTCAGCCCCCACGGCCACATTTTTTCATTAGATCTTGGGTAGGAGTTTCAAACTGACAATCCTAACTGTTGCATACATATGTTATAGAGCCTGTTCTTCCCTGTGAAACTCTCTGGTTTTGATTCAGGTGTGTTCATTCAAATAAATCAGATGGTGTGGTTGTGGTGGGGGCAGAGGCACTTACCTGACCTCCTGGCAGGTGAGTTGCTGCTGCTTTCTGGGAGGGGAAGATGGCGGTGAGGTTGGTGTGCTGCATATGCACTGGCCAATCCAGTCCAGGATTCCTGCCAGTGCATTTACACTGTTGGCAATGATAATGGCCATTGCCTCTGCCTCCTACGAAGCAGCAGCAACAGGTAAGTGTCTCCAGCCCATCACGTTGAATAGAATGAAACCAGAATTGTGGGAATTATTGAAGGCCAAGGGGGAAATACATGGGCAATCATTGTGTTTTTGAATGTCCAAAGTGTTTGATAAACATTATCCCAGTGTAAGATTGGCGTCAGTATTACTATCCATATTTTGCAAATGGGGATGGAGATGGTTGAGAAATAGTGGCACACCTAAATTTTACTCTTTTCTATTGCAGTGTAATTATCTTGTTAGCTATTTCAAGAGGTGTGTTTCAGCAAGTTAAGAAGCTGAGAAATGGAATAATGATGATGGTAAAAACCAGTAGTTGTCAGCCGTGATTACCTGACCTCCCTTCGCTGCCCTGGCTTTTCCGGGGGTGATGGGAAACAAGGAGCACTGTTGGGAGATTTCACCTGAAAGCTTCGTGGCTCCCATGCTTAGATACTGCACTAAGCCAATGGTGCAATAGAGCCAGAGTGTGGAGGGGGAGCACAACTTGAGAACTTTCCCCAAGAGATGATACAATCTTCTAGCAAGGATGATGACATCATCTCCCTTCAAGTCAATGAGGTGATAATAAAGTTTTCAATTTCCCTTTTGGTGAGAGATTAGCCAGGATCAGACATTGTGGAAGATAACCAAGCAGACCTTAAAGCATGAAACTCTTCTTAATAGGAGTTCCAGCTACATGCTAGAAATACCCCCCCCCCCCCGCTTCTTAGCAAGACTTTTTTGCATTTCTAATTAAAAGTGAAAGGCAGCATTTTAGCTGGGTCAAGATCATTTGTTCAAACTCAACTGAACTTATGCAGTCAGGAGTAAACACCACTGAATTCAATGGAATTTATTCCCAGGTAACTGTGGCGCTGTGGTCTCAACCACAGAGCCTAGGGCTTGCCAATCAGAAGACCGGCGGTTCAAATCCCCGCGACAGGGTGAGCTCCCGTTGCTCAGTCCCTGCTCCTGCCAACCTAGCAGTTTGAAAGCATGTTAAAGTGCAAGTAGATAAATAGGTACCGCTCCGGCGGGAAGGTAAACATGCTGGCCACATGACCGGGAAGCTATACGCCGGCTCCCTCAGCCAGTAAAGCAAGATGAGCGCCGCAACACCAGAGTCGTTCAACAGTTATGCCACACTAGTAATCAGGGATGTGAACCGAGGACTGTTCAGCCCAGTTCCAGCAGGGCAACAACTAAGTCACCCACTGCCAGTTCAATATGCTCTTACTTTTCTTTGACCCTGTCCTTCTCCTAAGAGACATGGCTATGCAGCCTATCATGATGAGTTTCCATACATCAACATTTACCCCTGCACCACAGTAGTAAACCACTTCTCATTTCCCTTTCAAGGGTAATTCTTGAGCATTTGTGGACTGCGGTGCAGGTTGCGGAGCCTATGCTTTTGTGGGGGAGGGATTGCACACCTGCCAAGTACATAATTCTGTTTAAGCCCTGAACCATATCTGTGCAATGCTGGTAAACTTCTTAATCTCATATCTGCGCACCGTCTCTCGAATCTGCTATTAGTATATAGATAGAATGTTCCAATGCATAATTTTCTAGTTTTGTACATTTATGGACATACAACTCAAGCTGATCTTAATTATCAATGAATGAAAAGAAGAGGAAACGTGGAAGGAGTTCATTGAGGTCCAACAGAATTTTGAGTCTGCAGATTCTTTTCTGAAGTGGATCAGTTTTTCAATGGACCGCTAAGGCAGTTTTGCATGCTAACAGTTCCTTGAAGAAACTGAGAGAGAGGTAGATGGCTTGGTTGCTGATAAAGAGAAGTGAGCAACAGAACTACTGAGTTTCATGCTTTAAGTTTTGCGTTTTCCCTAGAATGGAAGAGACAAGGAAGAAAAATGACCAGCCAAATCTAGTCTTAAGACTGAAGTGGCTTAGCGTGCCCTTGCAGATAATAAGATGCTGAATAATGAGTTAGCCAAGGAAAGAAAGAAAGAAAGAAAGAAAGAAAGAAAGAAAGAAAGAAAGACCCTTGCTAATGATAGTTTATGGTGGCAAAAAAGAGAAAGAAGAAAACCTGTTACCATGTGCTGCTGGTGTTTTCAGATTAAGATGGGGGATTAAGGAATTTTACTCAGCAATTTGAGATGCTTTGTTAAGAATAGAGGAGATTTGAACTGCTTTGTTCTGAAACCACATGTTAGTGAAAAAGCAAACAGGCACTTAATCCTGACAGACAGCAGAATTTGACATCAATTTGTCCCTTGGGAGGTGACCAAGAGTTCTTTGGGACAGACGAAAACTGCTGGGACCTAAAATGGCTTTGAGAACTTAATGCCAGGGCTTGTACCCTCATGGAAGCCCTCGGATGCCATAACTCACAATGGCTGGGGACCGGTCAACAGTTTTATAGACCCAAACAAGACTGAGTGTTTGAAAAACACATACAAGGTGCCAAAGTGTTTACCAAATAGAGTTAAAATATGATCTAGTTTAAGGTCATGCCTTTAGCCTTAAAAGAGACGAAGCCAAGAGCGAAGAAAAAGCTGATAACTTTCCCGTTTGTGATGTTGGATGGTTTCCTGTAACAATAAAAATATAGCAGCTGACATCTAGACAGTTGAATATATACAAGGCTATATAGTGGCCTCTGATATACACACAACAATCTCTTATGCAGATCTTTAAGGGGGATTATTTGGTTGTGGGTTTTTTTGAAAACAACAATGCTGAACAGCTTTTTAAGGTCGGTCATAGTTGACAGTATTTGTTTCTAAAAAATCTTATTGAAGCTGGCTTTATTTTTCCATATAAATTCAAAGAATGTTAAAGTCTGGCAGCAAAGCTAAATTCTGATGCAACATTTGACTTCCTTAGTTTTAAAGTGCAAATGTTGTACTGTGCAGAAAACTTGGCCAGTTCATGTTCTGAGCCACTCGCTACTCAGATCTACTTAGAACACACTTCTTAATAATCTTGTTATAGGAATGCGGGAAGATAAACTAAAAATTAATTGCAGCCATTCTGTGGTTTAAGTTTTACAATACAGAGTAAATATCTTCAACACACAACACATGCACAAACTCTGTAAAAATGCCCCCCTATGGGAATATAAGCAGTGGGAAGTTACAGTTCTACAGATCCCATTACTTAGGTAAGTAAACAGCATCAACCCAATCAAGTAAGAGCTGTATTGGATCGTTTTTCTTTCCTCTGCAGTTTATTAGTACTGAAATACCTTTTTCAAAGAATAGCTATCTAGGTCTTAAGGAGACATACTTTAGGTAATTTGATAGACTTTTTAAATTTGCTTATATTCCGTTTACAACATCCATAGCTCGTGATCATGACCTGGTAAACTTTTAATAGCATAGTCATCTATTGACTACAATATAAAATTTACATGCTTCAAAAATCCCCCCTCTTTTTTTGGATTAAATATCTTTCTTTCCCATTAAGAGAAGGCATATTTCAACATAAAATACAATAAAATAACCTATATATGATCAGGGCCAATGACAATATTTTTAAACTTAAAGCAAAGCACAGAAAAGCAACCCACCCCCCACCCCTCTCCTGTTTCTGGTTTTTAATGATCACATTAGGCAAAATATACTCGAAGAACTATAAAAGAATACCTTGACCCTCTGTCCTTTTGAAAATGATCAGATGCTTGTTAAAATCCCATCACACGATGCATGATTTTCATTACCTTCTTGTACATAACATAGCAAACGCTGAGAGAGTTAGATGCTATAGCCTTCATAGGAAATACCAATTTGTTAATTCTGCTTTTGTAGAAGAGCAGATAACCCAAATCTTCTCTCTCTCTCTCTGTGTGTGTGTCTGTGCAACGATAGTGAGACATGCGGGGGGGGGGGGGTAAAAGGATCAAAGACGGGGTGAGTTGAAATCAAAAACACAGTATTCATTCATTTAGCTCTGCTATAGCAGAGCAAATCTAGGGTGACTCAAGGGACACAGTGTCTTGTAAAACATATGTACTTAATATAAGGGTCATAAAACTTATTAAATTAAAAGCTAGGTTAAAAATAGGAAGAAAATTTATGCGGCTGTCTGAAATAGCAATAATTTCCCTTTGGCCTTTCCCTTTGCTTGCAACCAACATTAGCTTGCTTTCTTTCTTTCTTTCTTTCTTTCTTTCTTTCTTTCTTTCTTTCTTTCTTTCTTTCCTTCCTTCCTTCCTTCCTTCCTTCCTTCCTTCCTTCCTTCCTTCCTTCCTTCCTTCCTCTTTCATTCTTTTTGGCAAAGAGATCATATTTTGGAATGGAAGTGTCTCAGTAAGTAGACATAACTGGGTGCTAACAAGGAAATGGGGCTCTTCAACACTTCATTCTAGTGGGAGAGAAAGAGTGAAGATGGCTGCGATCCAAAGTCTGAACATGCAAAGTCTTCCTACTTTCTGACATAGAAGGAAAATGCTTCATGTGCCAGGGAGCATATTTTGCTTCAGAGACTGAGCAGTTCTCTCATAAAAGGATTCTGGGATACCGCTGGCAGGCATGGCCACCAGAGCACAGGCGCTACTTTGTAAAAAGTGCTGTGTGAAATTCTTCAGCAGGCATTGGCCATATTGTCATATTGTGATGTCTGGTATCAGTTTACCGTGTGACTGAAGCAACACCACGCGATGACTTGCACGTCTAAATCAAGAGTCTGAAACAAGAGTCTTCGGTCTGCAATCACAATGTTTTTCGATGGAGACACAAAACATTGCATGTACAGTAATTAAATGCAAAGCAACCAAGTGATGCGAAGCAGTCCTTTATGACTAGAAGCTCAATATGTGAACTGACACGATAGAAAAGTATTCTTTCGGAGGTGGCATGGGTTGATAGTGTGACATCCAAAACAATCCATTCATGCATGCAAGTTATCATTTGGTATTGCCATCATCAAGTGAGGAACATGCCACTGTGAACATTATGGATTTGCCTAGGCCTAATAATAATAATAATAATAATAATAATAATAATAATAATTTATTATTTATACCCCGCCCATCTGGCTGGGCCTCCCCAGCCACTCTGGGCGGCTTCCATAAAAACCAAAAATACAGTAAAATATCACACGTTAAAAACTTCCCTGAACAGGGCTGCCTTAAGATGTCTTCTGAATATCAGGTAGTTGTTTATCGCTTTGACATCTGCTGGAAGGGCGTTCCACAGGGCGGGCGCCACTACCGAGAAGGCCCTCTGCCTGGTTCCCTGTAGCTTTGCTTCTCGCAATGAGGGAACCGCCAGAAGGCCCTCGGCGCTGGGCCTCAAAAATGCGGCGCTGGACCAAAAATGTTTCTAGCTTTCCTAAACATGCCTGAAGTGGGAATTTTTGCAATGGAATTAAAGCACCAGGCTTTAATTAGCTATAGCTTGCAACCAGCACTTCATTGTTCAACCTGATGGGATGGCCCATTCTAAAACAAGCCATCTGAATTTAAAACTAAGGCTCGGACTCATCCACTCATGCTCATTCCTGAAACATAGCTGGTTTTTTTTTTGGTAGAATTTAGCCCAGGGACATAGGAATTATATATATTCAAAAAGGACATTAGGTCTGTGAATCTTCCAAGTGACTTATTGCACCACAAGTGGCCATTACATAAGTGTGTAATTGCTCATGCCCCAGAACCTCACTTTTTAGAAAGGTGAGTGAGCATTTGTCAAAATTATTGCCAACTTGGACATCTTCTTCTGATATCAGGTTTATTTGGTGCAGTTAGAAGGCCAAAAACTAGTCCACTTTTTTCTTGGGGGGGGGGGGGCGGAATGACACTGAAATTGGCAGCCTTTATGAAATTTAAGCACACTGCTAATCATGTAATTATAGATGAAATATTAAAGAAGTGGACTAATTACACACAATACTCTTGAGCCCAATTAAAATAGCATCTGTAGTGTAACGTAAGGGTATTCTCTTCCACTAATAAGAGATACTTTTTTTAACAACAGAGAATAAAACAGCTAAATTGGATAGGCAGTGGAGATTATAAATTTCCTATTAGCATATAAAATGAGGATTAACCTTATTTAATCACTTCATGCTTGATCATCAAAAGTCATGTTTCACCTCTATAATGTAGCAGTATCTAGTCTGAGGGGGGGGGGGGGAATCATTAACACGTTTAGTTAACAACATGGTTTTCGTCTACTGACAAGAGCTGATAGCAACAAGTACAGCTCCCTCCCAGGTCATTTAGAAAAATAACAAAGAACTTTATTCTTCCAGCCATATAGCTGGATGTCCTTCAACTAAAGTCAGAGGGACTCTGGCAGCCTAGATCCTGTCCACTTACAGGCAGACCAATAACAGCCATTGGATTTCAGGACACTGGTTTTCAGGTCCTCCTACAATTCCTCCACCAAAGCGGAACTCCAAAGAAGGTAAAAGCAGTGCTTGTGATCCTGATATAGTTGTGATCCAAGGAACTGTAAGCCATTCATTTAAAGACAGACGGGAAGTCTATGAAAATGGGTGCTGTGTGACAAAGGGTTTTCTGGGATTGTGTTGGCCAGCCTGCAGCGCCTAGTGTCACCTCTCTTGCTGTTCTGTAGGGTCCTGCAACCCTATAGAGAAGCTTTGCAGGGCATACAGGATTGGGAGTTTGCCTGCAAAGAGTCTACACAACTGTGAGCAAATACTGGACTTAAAGAAAAAGCCTCTGTACAATAGATAGAGCCCTTGGTCACCTCATTCAGTCCCTAAGGAACTTCTCTGTTCCCTTGAATCTTTTTTTTTTAACAGTGAAGTCCTATCCTTTCCCTCTCTTCCTTTCCCCCCGTAGAAACTTCATTTTGCCTCCAACCACCTATGAATTGTTGAAATAATGACCTTTGGAGGTTCAGCACAGGTTGGCTCTGCAGCGTAGTAGCTCAGTGAGCTCACAGGAGCATCCAATGTTCATTTCTTAGGATGCCTTGCTGCAGATATGCACCTAATGTGTGGATAGGGTTGAAGTGTGTTTGGCACGATGGGCAGGACCACTTGCCACCCTGTTGTGCTGTTGCGTGATGTTGAACACCTGAATACGGCTATGTGCACATCGCAGGTTAACCATATTTATTTATTTATTTCAACAATTGGTAGACCACTTGATCACGTTCATCATATGCATGCTTGTTTGGAAGCAATTTCTTATGGAAGGTAGTGGGATTTATTCCTAAATAGGAGTGCACAGGATTTCAGCTTGGATCTCTGAAGGCTTCTTTGATGAATGCTGTGGTTTGTGGACCACAGAGGAAGGTCAGGATGTCCTCCTTCCAGTCCAGGGGTCCTTTACCTTTACCTTTAGTGGAGGAACTAATAAAGATTCATGAATGATTCCTGTGCAACTGCTGATGTTTTTCGCTTGCAAGGATCCACATGCCACATTCGCAAGGACTAAAGGAAAGATCAAAATATATTTAATTTTTTTTTTAAAAAAATGCCCAGTAGCACCTTAGAGACCAACTAAGTTTGTTCTGGGTATAAGCTTTCATGTGCATGCGCACTTCTTCAAATACTGGACAAATTTTTTTTAATGTATTTTGACTGCGTCAGACCAACATGGGTACCTACCTGAATCTAGAACTAAAGGAAAGATATTATGAAGTGCCTTTCATGGAATGCATACGTTAAGGCACGGGTGTCAAACACAAGGCCCGTGGGCCGAATCCGGCCCGCCAGACCTCGCCATGTGGCCTGTGTAGCCGCCGGTAGCCGCCAGCCTTCACCTTTTAGTCTCGCTTTTTTTTTTTGATGGAATTACAAACTTGGTGAATGAGGGAAATGCTGTGGATATAGTCTATCTTGATTCAGTAAGGCGGTACCTGTTTATCTACTTGCACTGGTATGCAAACAATACTGCCAATGGTAGTTCATGAGGAAGCTCAGGCTCGATGACCTGGGTCTGCACTAAGAGACAGCCAAGATGGTCTCTGGCCTCTTCAGCAGCCTCAGCTTTTGTAGCTGGACTCATAACTACAACATAACTAAAGTAGTCATAAGCAATAAAGAAAACATAAAAAATATACAACCAAACTGAACAATTTCCACATAAATCACAAGATCTATAATAAAGATACAAAAAACCAGCAACAGCAGCAACCACCACCCCTCCCAACAAAATCCGGCAAACAACACCCCAGCTCAAGGGTGTGTTCAGCAGTCTCAGCTTTTGTAGCTGAAGTCAGTCAGGGCCCCTCCCTCCTAGGTCAGGTGGGAAAAGGCTGCAAGGCAGAGAGCAGGTCTTCCAGGACTCGCAGCCAAGAGTCACCGCCAAGATGCCCTTGGGATGAGGGGCAGCTGCCCTCTATGCCCTGCATGTGTGTTGGTAGGGCAAGGAGTGAGCCACCTCAGAATGAGTAGACACATTGGAGAATTTTGAATGTGAGCCTTTTCATCAAAAGGAGCACGTATGCAACAGCTACAGTGTGACTCTGTGGACCAGATGGACAAGTAAAGACTTCCTATAATTTGTTTTAAAAACACCTTCATATAAAATTTATAGCATTTGATACAAACCACTCCAACCTGCGGGTGGCGCTGTGGGTAAAACCTCAGTGCCTAGGACTTGCCGATCGCATGGTCGGCAGTTCGAATCCCCGCGGCGGGGTGAGCTCCCGTCTTTCGGTCCCAGCTCCTGCCCACCTAGCAGTTCAAAAGCACTCTTAAGTGCAAGTAGATAAATAGGTACCGCTTTCTAGCGGGAAGGTAAACGGCGTTTCCGTGTGCTGCGCTGGTGCTGGCTCGCCAGCAGCTTCGTCACGCTGCCAGAAGTGTCTCCGGGCAGCACTGGCCCCCGGCCTCTTAAGTGAGATGGGCGCACAACCCTAGAGTCGGACACGACTGGCCCGTACGG